CCTGATCCGTTTGCAGACAAGCCAAGTCGTACAAGGTGCGCGTCTTTTATCACACCTCGCCCAAGGCCAGCGGCGTGCAGTGGCTGGCGCCCGAGCAAACCTCGGGCAAGCAACACCCCTTTCTCTTCTCCCAGTGCCAAGCCATCCACGCTCGTAGCATGGTGCCCTGCCAAGGTGTGACCTGCAGCTCACACAAAATGCTCGACCACTTGCGTGGCGCCGACAAATCTACCTCCGAGGGCCGCACCACACCGCTCACCAATGGCACATCGTGCATGCCAAACCATGTCCCCACACTGACTTACAAATAGACACGCCCTCTTCCAAGTGCACCTACTCGGCCTCAGTTCGCGTACCCCGCCCTCTTCAAGGTTCGCCGACCCCTCTGAAATGGCACCACCTGACGGTGACACCTCTTTGCTCGCTGTCCGTCCTCATGCAACGCATGCCCGTTGCAACGCCTCTTGGGCCACAGCACTCATGAGTGCCAAGCTTGTGGGCGAGGCGCAAACCGGCAATGATGTCATTTACAAGTTTGAGCAGCCCGTGGCCGTGCCCACCTACCTCATTGCCATTGTGGTGGGCAAGCTGGAATCGCGGTTCGTGGGTTCCCCGCTGGATAAAGCGCAAGTAATCCCGCACAGAATTGGCACTGACCTTGCTTCTGGCTCTTGTAGCGACATCAGCCCACGCTGCCGAGTGTGGAGCGAACATGAGAGCATTGAAGCAAGCGCCAAAGAGTTTGAAGATGTGCGTCTGCGTCTGTTGTAAGGGCCCGTTACATAGCTTTTTACCTGCTACTGAGCTGGACTCATGTGCCTCGCAACGTATGCGTGTGCCACCACTGGTCATCAGATGGAGCAAATGCTGCAGGCGGCTGAGGACCTGCTGGGCCCCTACGTTTGGGAGCGCTACGATCTGCTTGTCTTGCCCCCGTCCTTCCCGTGAGTCTCATGCCTGCACCCCGTCGCGAGAACATCAGGCGTGCCATCATGCGCCAGTTTCAGACGGCCCACCAATAACACAAGGTCCATGCCTTGATACTCATTCTTGCAATCGGCGTGTTTGTAGCTACGGCGGCATGGAAAACCCAATGCTGACGTTTGTGACACCCACGCTGCTCGCCGGCGACAAATCGCTGACCTCGGTCGTCATTCACGAAATCACCCACAGCTGGACCGTAAGGCCTCATGATGTGGACCAGCCACGATGGCGCCGGCTCGCTGTGCGGCCACTCATGCGTGCCCACGTCCCACCACGTGTCGAATGCACAGGGCAATCTGGTAACATCAGCCACATGGGAGCATTTCTGGCTCAATGAAGGGTTTACTGTCTTTTGCGAGCGCAAGATTGTCGGTGCCTTGCATGGCGAGCCTGCGCGCCAATTTAGTTCGATTGGCGGTGCGTGACCCGACCTTTGAAGTATATACTTGTTATATGGAATGTCATCAACGGACCTGCCTCTCACTGAATGACGATCTGGACGCAGGCCTCAAGTCACTGCGCGACAGCATCGACGTTTTTGGTGAGACCAACCCTCTGACGGCACTTTGTCCGAAGATTGACGAAGCTACAGACCCCGACGATGCCTTTAGCAGTGTACCCTACGAAAAGGGTTCCAACCTGCTCTACTACATTGAAACCCTGGTGTGTGCTGCCGGGCGCCCTGCTTGGCCTCCTTCGATTTCGGCTGCCTCGCGCCACACGTCTTAACGCCCAGTCGACTGGACCCAGGTGGGTGGACCCGCGCAGATGGACCCTTTTCTCAAGGCATACATCAAGCAATTTTCCCACAAGTCCATCACGACTGATGACTTTAAGACGTTTCTCTACTCCTTTTTTGCAGACAAGGTCTGTGCTTGCAGCTCCAGACCAGACTCCCAATACAGACAAAAAAAAGCAATCGGCTCATTACATGCTTGGAATGGGTCCTGCCGGGGTTCGCGGCTCATAGAAGGAAGTACTGGACAACATCGACTGGGAGTCTTGGTTCAACACCCCCGGCATGCCCCCGGTAGAAAACCAGTGCGTGGTCGCACATGCGCCTTGCACCCACGCTAGAGCCTGGCTGGACAGGGTGTGTCGCTGCCTGACGCTGCCTGACGCTGTGCAATGGTCGCGCGTACAGGTTTGATAATGCACTTGGCGCCGAAGCTACTGCGCTGGCCGACCAGCTGTTGGCTGACAAGGCCGTGGAAGGCTGCCAAGAGAAGTTTGCGGTACGGAATTGGCATGAGCGCAGCATGTCCGGTCGCAAGTGACAATTCTCACCGGAGGGGGCAATGTTTGAGAGCGTAGCAACTCAATTCCAACCAAGTGTGCACATTGCTTGACCGATTGCTCACATCGAAAAAGGCCGACGTGGCTCTTCTGCAAGCCATGGACAAGGTGCGCAAGGAGTGTTTTTTGGTGTTTGTCTTTGGCAGAACGCATTGCTCCACTTGGCAGCATTCAGTCAGACGAGGGCCAAAAATGGCTACCAGGCCTAAGCGGTTGTTATCTTCACCACATGGCCACATAGGTCTTGAAGCTGGGCGCCAGCCAGAACAGTGAGATTCGCTTCCGATGGCTGCGGCTGGCCCTGCAGTGCAACTGGGAGGAGCAATACTCTGAGGTGGTCAAGTTTGCCACTGAGCAGGTGCGCGTATTCGCATGCTTTGAATGGTGTTTTTGCCCAGGCTGGTGGAGCGTGTTTAATTCGAGCTGGTGTGCGCTGGCAAGGAGCCGGCCGCAAAGCTCACGATCGTCGATTCTGGCGATCCGTCGCAGGGGCGCATGAAGTTTGTTCGTCCGCTCTATCGCGAGCTGAGCCAGGCTAAGAATGGCGCTGAACTGGCACGCAAGACCTTTGAGGAGCACCGCGCCACGTATCACAACATTGCTGCCACCATGGTGGCCAAGGATCTCAAACTCTAGAGAGGGAGATCGAATAGCTTGACAAGGAGCACGCAGTGCCTCTTGCCGTCAATTGAAGCCCAGCGCTAAACAAAACAAAAAATCAGAGTCCCCACTGCCCATAATGTTGGAACTACAACCAGCTCTCCCCTACTCTGCAGGTGTGGCTGTGGCGCGACGCCGCCCGATTAAGGTACGCTCGCGCAGCTTGTTGGCAAAGAGCCAACGCCATTCGAGATCGGCAAACTCCTCTCCCAGCTGCTGGTGACACGACTCGAAGGTGCGGGTTGAATATTGGACCGACTTGCTGCGCAGTTTGGCAGTCACGACCAGGAGAGCTCCAGGACGCATGACGGGAATCACCTCGCGCACAATGGCCAGGCACTATTGTAGCAAAGGCGCAGAACAGGCCACGCGCACCGCACAACGTGAAAATAAACAACAAGGGCGGGAGCGAGGCGTGATTTTAGTGAGAGCAGGAAGTATGGTACGAGGAGAAAGCACGGGGGACCGTAGGTGCAGATAGATGCAGCAAAGCAGATACGAAAACGCACGTTGTCCATTTCAGTGTTCATGTCACAGACAACCAAGTCATATGGGCCCCGCTCAAGCATTTGGGGCATGGCATCTTGCACACGGGCGCGAAAATGCACCACGTTGGGTAAGGCAGTGACGGCCTGACTGAGCATGGCCGGGTCCACGGCCACCACCAGCTCGCAATGGCGGGCCAGATACTGCGGCGATTCGACGCGCAAAAGGGCCCGGGCAGAGGCAGAGGGGGTGAGATGCCTGGCCATGTTTTAGCTCAACCGATGGACCAGCGCGAGGAATCAATCAAATCTCACCTCTGTCCAGCCGCCGGGCGCGGCGCCAATGTCGACCGCACGCGCACCCGGAGGCAAGGTGAGATGGTGAGGCGAGCCCTCGAAAACCTCACGAAGCTTGTTGGCGGCGCGGCATAACGGGGTCTGGGCGGAGTAAGCAAGTGCCGAGACGTTGTAGCCCTTGCGGCTGCCTACTCGGCGCCCTTCTGATGGAGCACGCGCCTCTTCATCAATGAGTTCGGGTTTGCCGTCGGGAAAAGCTTGAGGGTTGGCTGCTGCGCGCTGCATTTGTGCGGCGCTCTTGAGGTGAGAGCCGGGGTCATCGTACCAGACCAGGGCGTCCGCCCGTGGCATGGTACCGCACAGATACAAATCAAGGCCAGCTTGGACGATGACGGCGTAGTGAGAAAAGTTGTGCGGGTCGAGGCGATCGGCCAGGGCGGGATAGGTCAGCAGAGTTGTGATGGCCTTGCTGCGCTCGCGATTGGGCCAGGAGAAGACACGATAGACGTGGTCTGCGGCGGCTGGCTTGGTGGCTTGCTCTTCCAGGTAAGCGCCTGCAGCTGAGATGGAGGTGGTGACCTGTTGGACGGCAAAGTAGCCGCCCGCTTTGAGCAAGCGATCCGCCAGCGCCGGGTACTGTTGAGCGGCAGCCTGGGGATCAAAGTCGGCCAGCAAGCATTGCACGGGCTTGGAAGAGCAGGTCCACGGCATCTTTGTTCGAGCAATAATCTGTCC